TGTTTGGTTTGCGTGTTTCTAGGGAAGCTGTTCTCAGGTTCATCTGTGTACCAGTTTTTATCTGCAGAATGATTGACATCATTTACTGTACATCTGAAGCATGAAGTACATGAAAGCAAATTTAGCTACACAAGCTCCATCTCATGCACCGACGAGTTTTGAAATGTTTCAATTCATCACTACATAATGCATTCATAGCAGGGTTATTATAGTATTATAATATTAACTAAAATTACAACCATAAAAATGTTTGTTACTTTAACATTTAATAAACTTTACATTTACAATTTATCTTGTTTTAGCACTGTAAAAAAAATATGATCAATAAGTCATGATAGCAAGTGTTTGATTAACTCATTAAAATTATTTAACCAATTTTAACATTTTTTAAGATAAGACTTTAAGACTCTAATAATAATAATAATAATAAGACTGTAAGACTTTAATTTAGTTTGTTGACGTACTAAAATAACTAAAATTAAATAAACAAACTACATAATAATAATAATAATAATAATAATAACAATAAAAAACCTATACAGATAAAAAAAAAAACTAATAACAATTACAAACAAAACAAAATTATTAAAACTTTAACTAAAATTAAAGTGAAAACAGAAAATATTTTATTTTCTAATTGTAAAAGTTTTTAAATTCAAAATATTATTAAAAACTAAATAAATTTATACTAGCCAAATAAATTTATAGCCTTTAAAAAAACTTTCTCCGGCAACTTTTTTTTTTTGGGGTGCAATTATATGTATGTATGTGTCTTAAGTTTTTTTATTATTAGAATGCAAAAGATGTAATTTAACATTGAATATACCAGTAAATTGAGTATAGAGTTTAAAAAGTCATAAGCAAAGTTGTCAAGATGGGATATATATATATATATACAGGTGCATCTCAATAAATTAGAATGTCGTGGAAAAGTTCATTTATTTCAGTAATTCAACTCAAATTGTGAAACTTGTGTATTAAATCAATTCAATGCACACAGACTGAAGTAGTTTAAGTCTTTGGTTCTTTTAATTGTGATGATTTTGGCTCACATTTAACAAAAACCCACCAACTCACTATCTCAACAAATTAGAATACTCCATAAGACCAATAAAAAAAACATTTTTACTGAATTGTTGGCCTTCTGGAAAGTATGTTAATTTACTGTACATGTACTCAATACTTGGCAGGGGCTCCTTTTGCTTTAATTACTGCCCCAATTCGGCGTGGCATGGAGGTGATCAGTTTGTGGCACTACTGAGGTGGTATGGAAGCCCAGGTTTCTTTGACAGTGGCCTTCAGCTCATCTGCATTTTTTGGTCTCTTGTTCCTCATTTTCCTCTTGACAATACCCCATAGATTCTCTATGGGGTTCAGGTCTGGTGAGTTTGCTGGCCAGTCAAGCACACCAACACCATGGTAATTTAACCAACTTTTGGTGCTTTTGGCAGTGTGAGCAGGTGCCAAATCCTGCTGGAAAATGAAATCAGCATCTTCAAAAAGCTGGTCAGCAGAAGGAAACATGAAGTGCTCCAAAATTTCTTGGTAAACGGGTGCAGTGACGTTGGTTTTCAAAAAACACAATGGACCAACACCAGCAGATGACATTGCACCCCAAATCATCACAGACTGTGGAAACTTAACACTGGACTTCAAGCAACTTGGGCTATGAGCTTCTCCACCCTTCCTCCAGACTCTAGGACCTTGGTTTCCAAATGAAATACAAAACTTGCTCTCATCTGAAAAGAGGACTTTGGACCACTGGGCAACAGTCCAGTTCTTCTTCTCCTTAGCCCAGGTAAGACGCCTCTGACGTTGTCTGTGGTTCAGGAGTGGCTTAACAAGAGGAATACGACAACTGTAGCCAAATTCCTTGACACGTCTGTGTGTGGTGGCTCTTGATGCCTTGACCCCAGCCTCAGTCCATTCCTTGTGAAGTTCACTCAAATTCTTGAATAGATTTTGCTTGACAATCCTCATAAGGCTGCAGTTCTCTCGGTTGGTTGTGCATCTTTTTCTTCCACACTTTTTCCTTCCACTCAACTTTCTGTTAACATGCTTGGATACAGCACTCTGTGAACAGCCAGCTTCTTTGACAATGAATGTTTGTGGCTTACCCTCCTTGTGAAGGGTGTCAATGATTGTTATAATTCAACAAACTTAATATTTGGTTAAAATAATTAAGAAAAAAAAAGCCATATTTTTTATTATGTTTTATTTATTTATTATTTTTTTGGTGAAAAGTGTAAGAACTGCTTTCAAATGATTTTGCTGTAATCATGCTCATATATTTGGAAATCAAAACCATGCATACTAGAGAGTATGTACTACAGACACGCGAGCTAAATCTCTACAGAGGGTTGCAATGGTAAAAGCATTCTCAGTGTTATGACAGATCATAGATATCAAGAGATCAAAAGAACTACTGAACTACAGCAGAGCCCTGAATCTGGAGAAACATGCACTGCAGAGATGACCTTCAGTCAGAAAGCAAAGAATTAATGCGGGCATGACGGATTCAATGCACTTTTCAGCTCATAACCATCTGAATTATGAGAGATGGTTGCAGTAATGACATGCATTTAGTTCCATACCTGAAACCCCTCTATTCGTCCTGGGCACACTTTAAAGAGAGAGTAAATGGAGTAAGTTCAAATGTCCTGATTCTCTGAGGGGACTCAATCTTTTTTACACACACACAAACACATATACTTAGGCCTATTTATATTGGTGCATAAGTAAAAAAATATTTAGCAATTTAAAAAAATAAAATAATTAAAAATAAAATAAAAAATAATAATTTATACATTTCTAAATAAAAAATGAAAAAATCATACAATTAAATAAAAATGT